GTTTAAGATCATTCTAACTGTCTTCTATATTTGGATAGTTCGGTTTGTTCTTTTTAAATTCTTCTTTTGTGTAACAAACTTCGGTTCAATTGTTACAGGAAAGTACAACCCCATGTGAAAATGTTTGAATGATGAAGCACCATGTTAAAGGAATCATAGAATCCCTACAGTGTGGAGACAGGCCCTTCGGCCCAACAAGTCCACACCAACCTTCACAGGGTCCCACCTAGATGCACCCCTCTATAACCCACCTAATCTATACATCCCTGAACACTACGGGTAATTTAGCATGGCCAATCCACCCTAACCTGCACATCTTTGGACTGGAGGAGGAAACCGGAGCACCCAGAGAAAACCCACGCAGACATGGGGAGAATGTGCAAACTCTACAGAGACAGTCGTCCGAGGGTGGAATCGAACCTGGGTCCCAGTGCTAACCACTGAGCCACCATGCCGCTTAACTAGTTAACTAGTCAAACAATCAAAAATAAACAAGTGACCTATTAAACCAGGTTTCATTCTGGGATCTGACTTATCCAGTAATACTATCAGCAGGAATCATTAAAAAAAAAAGACATTTTCATTAGATCCGGTTTCATTTTACCAAAGGGAAAGAAAACAGTGGACACTACACCGATGATTTTCTGCTGTTCCACTGACAGTACAGGGTCTTAAATGTGCTTGCTTTTATGACCTTTTTTTTTTCCATTTACGGCATCCTATATTGCCTTAAAGCCAATTAAGGACAGTCACTGTTGTAGAGAAGCAAAGCTGCCAACTGGTATGGTAAGATCCTGCAAATAGGACAATGTTAACAATCAGATAATCTGCTTCAATGTTGACAGCTTGGAGTTAAATATTGCCGAGGTCACCAGGGTGAATGTTCCTGCTGTCAAAGTCATGCAGCACAGAAGTAGACCCTTCTGTCCAACCAGTCCATGCTGACCATAATCCCAAACTAAACTAGTCCCACCTGCCTGCCCCTAGCCCATATCCCTCCAAACCTTTCCTATTCATGTACTTATCCAAATGACTTTTAAACAATGTAACTGTACCCGCATCCACGACTTCCTCTGGCAGTTCATTCCACACACGAACCACTCTGTAAGAATTTTCCCCTCATGTCCTTTCTAAATCTTTCTCCTCTCACCTTAAAAATATACCCCCTAGTTTTGAACTCCCCATCCAAGGGAAAAGACACCTGCCATTCATGATTTTATAAAGGTCACCCCTCAACCTACTACGCTCCAGTGAAAAGAGTTGCAGCCTTTCCAGTCAATTTTTATATCTCAAATCTTCTTTTGGATAGTGCCATGGAATCTTTTCTGTCCACTTGTGAAAGCAAGCGCGCCCTCAGTTTAACATCTCCAAAAGTGTAGCTCTCTCTCGGTACTGCTTTGGATTTTTGTGCTCAAATGCTGCAGTACAGTTCAAATCTACAACCTTGTAATTGAGAGTGGGGTGTGACCATGAGCAAATAATGGCACCCAACCTATATTCTGCTGCACCTTTTATCCACTGTACAAATGGAAGTTCGTGAGATTGACATGGACAAAAAGACATGTTGAAGGGCCAGCATCCTTGCGTTTTACTTGCTGTAAGGACAGCAGAAAGATGAAATAAAACTCCATCACGCCTTTCTCGAGGCAACAATAATCTGTCATTGAGATGAGGGATCGTGGGCAAAAATAAAAACCCCAACATTCATAAGATGCACCCTCTGGACAAGACATAGAACCTGCGTGAAAGAAAGCAGAAGCATTGTCTTCTATTAAATAGTTGTAAGAAATTCTAGTTAATTTTTCTAAGTGACTGTCAAGAGATCATAATTATTTTACACATCAAAAAATAGGAGCAGGAGTAGGCCTTCAGCCCTTCAAGCCTGCTCCATCATTCAACATGATCATGGCTGATCATCCAATCAGTCCCCTGTTCCTGCTTTCTCCAAATACCTTTTGATCCCTTTAGTCCTAAGAACTATATCCAATTGCTTGCTGAAATCATTCAATGTTTTTGCCTCAACCACTTTCTGTGATCGTGAATGAATTCCACAGGCTCACCACTCTCTGGGTGAAGAAATTTCTCATCTCACCCCTAAATGGCTTACCCCATATCCTTACACTGTGCTCTCTGGTTCTGGACTCCCTGGTCACTGGGAGGTTACAGTACTGGGCAACCATAGTTCATTTCTGCAGTGTTAAAATTCAAAGTGCATCATTCAGGACACAACTGTTGGGACCCAATCATCATCCTGAACTCTTGGCCTAACATTACTAACTTATTGAACAAAACATGAGGAGATTCGAGCCATTAAATTCAAAGGGAGAAGAGTTGTTCCACAAATAACTGGCACCTTCTAACACTCCACATGAATCAACAGGCACCGGAATGCTCTCTCAAGGCTCCTCGGGAAAGCATTGGCCTCCTTCAACTGGTTGGGAGTCTGAAGAACAGGAGATTAATAAAGCCCTACACCGGACTCTTTGGCATTGTTCTGCCTTGTGCATAACTCGTCTCTCCTTACATATATCAGAATTATCCTTTTTCCAACACCAGAACTGTTTCTTCAATTACAAATAACTCACAGAACTCTCTCTGAAGAAAAAGCATAAAATGGGTAATTTCTTTTGCATCCCTTCATTCCAACATAAATTTTCTAAGTACCAATGATGTGTGAAACTCACGTATTACATCCAAAAGGAGCAGTAAAACAAAGTCGGGCAGATTCGCACAAGGAAATTATTGCTTGTCTTGAGATTGATTTACACAAAATCCTAGAAAACTCTCTCTTTCTGATTAATTCGAAGTCTTTCATACAATTATTGGGCTGATTCATATTTTACTTATTATTTCTGCTTCTGTATGCTATTAGCAAATAAAACATATGTTAAGCGGTGTGTCACTTTATGCAATCTGAGGCAACAGGTAAAAACAGTGAGAAACCCTCATTCTCCAACAAGTAATTTAACATAATCAGGGTTAATTTCACACCTTGAACTAATCTCAAAATATTATAAGAAAAACTTCATGTTTTTGATGCAGTGAGACCCTGAACCTGTTTTCAGAAACAGTCCAAGAGGTGGTGTTATGGGAAAGTGTGCGATCGGTAATGTAGCTGAGAAACAAAACAACATACTCAGGAACAGGGCTACGTAGCCCCTCAAGTCTCTGCAGCCATTCAATGAAATTACGGCAAAACTGCAAACCTAAATCTGCCTTCCTATTGTTTAACAACATGTCAGTCTCAGATTTAAAATTTACAACTGATCAACAAAAATTGTCATTTGAAGGAAAAAAACCTTCCAAATTTCTGCCAACCATTGTGTGTAGATGTGTTTCCTAATTTCATTCTTGAAATATTTCACTGTGGATTTTTAGACTATATTCCAGTCTTAGACTCTTCAAGTAGTAGAAATAGTTTCTCATTATCACTCAATATCTTGAAGATGTCTTAGTTTCTAGTCACAAACTTAATCTACAACCCTTTTCCCCATGATGTTTAGATGGGTAATGATAAGAATGTTATACTGGAGTTCAGTCATAGAGTCACACTGCACAGAAACAGTCCTTTTGGTTCAACCAATCCATGCTGACCATAATCCCAAACTAGCTTGGCCCATATCCCTCCAAACCTTTCCTAATCATGTATTTGTCTAAATGTCTTTTAAACATTCTAACTGTACCCATATCCACTACTTGCTCTGGAAATACATGAACCATTCTATATGTAAAACAAACTGCCCCATGTCTTTTTTAAATCTCTCCTCTCAGTATCCTGGGTCTGAGATGAATGGGAAGAAATCATCCCATATTTTCCAGTCCTGATCATTGTTGGGAAATACGTACAGGTAGAGTTGTTAAGGGAGGACAGAATTATAATTGGAATCTTAACCTGTCAACACACAATTCTGTTCAGGGAAGGAACTCACTATTACTGAGATGACCACGTTTTAAAACTTTTTAACTCATTTGAATTGGGGGAATACCAGAACACCAGTGCAGGCTGATGCCAATGCAATCCAGAAGTAGTCTGTTGGGAATGCTAAAATGCAAGTCGACAGAAGTTCACATTTTAGTTTACATCATTGCCAACTAGTTATATCAAAACCACTCATAGGAAATATTCTGCTAATTAAAGATTTATAACATAGCTTGTACTGTACAGTTTCCATATAAGTATATTCGTGATTCAACAATAATCAAGAAAAAAGATAATTTCCATATACCAGTCTAGCGTATCCCGAGATTCAATCCAGAATAGGTCATGACTTAGACCACAGTTTATTGCAAAACTATTAAATTCCCCTAGCTGATAGAACACAACATCCAACCTTGTGCCCGTTGCAATTAGCATCAGTTGTTGCATCCCTCAGACCATTCACCTTTCTGTTATTAGCAGAGCAGTAATTCATAAGGATGTATGAGAATACCTATGGCTGCAGGCTAAACTCTATACATTGCAGGAGTTCACCTTTCGGAATCTGAAATACTTGGTAATTCTAGAACATTTGGTGGTGAAGTGCAAGAGCAGTTTCCTAATGTAGGCAATTGAACGGGCAACTCGCAGAGCCGTCTTTTACTTCAACTGCAAACGTTGTGACAAATCCATTATTGTTTACAGAAACACACAATGTGGCTGAACTGAAGAACATTTAATGCTTATTTCTGCTGTACACACACTTCAGGTGATATTATCATGACAAGAACGCAGGCACAGATAGCAGCAGAAGCAATTCTTGCAGGGTGTTTCTGAAATACAACTCACACATATTAAGTTCTGTGATCTCTGCAGCCAAGATGAAGTGACAGTACCATTGCAACTTCAGTAATGACGAAAATAAAAGCACAATTGTGAACAATTCAACAGGAACAGCTACTGAGTTTACAATAGTATGCTAATGGTTCATAGGCAACTCTGATTTAATGCTCTTTGCAAGTATAGTATGATGTAGTAAAAGTGAAGTTAAAACATTTATATAAAAAAATTCTATAAAACTTACATTAAAAAAATTTGTTTTGTTCCTCTCGTAGAACAGTCCTTGAGCTGGCATATGCTTCAATTGTTGCCATGGAACATTGACACCTAGCAACACATCCCGAGCCCAGTTCAGGTTCTAAGGAAGACACAAATGATTGAAAATTACAACACAAGACATCCAGGGAGCCTAATGACTTATTTTTAAAGTTACACCCTATTAAACAAAAGCTCGATTGTGGAAATTTCCTCTGCAAATAGTGAAATCCTGGAAAATGCTGCTTAATAAGTACTGAATAGTCATTAGTTAATTAGACCACATAATGAGATAGCAAAACCAACATGTACATATACAGCTACTTGATAAGATGAAGCATTGCAGAATACAGCTGTAGAGTGGAACTGTGCAACCACTCAGTTTATTCATTATAGAAAAATATTGGGCAAGCAAAAACAGTTGACAGACTACAAGGTGGCAATGATTGTGATTATTCAAGATCCATAATGATTCATCTGTAATATATGGATCAATTATAGTGCAACTATGTGAAGACTTCTGTGTTCCGGTCTTGGACTTATTACGTGAGATACAACTGACTGCTGTCAATTCAGATTAATCTCTATTTCCATCAAAATATAAACTTAAAATTAAAGTAGCCAAGTGGAAAATAGTTACCACATGTTGTAGTCCAGCCACATCTTTTTTAGATAGCTCAAGGCTATTTTATAAAATGTATCTTGGTGCCCTATAATAGGCATTCACAGTTCTTACAATGGAGTTAGAACAGCTTGTAACAATCATTGAATTCATTTTAAAATAAGAACAAATATTCGTCAAGATTCTGCATTTGAGCTTTATTGCTATGAATATTTTTGTTTTGAGCAGCAGGGGACAGGCTGCAAAGAACTATACAACCCGATAGTGAGAGACAGTAATTGTTAGAGATTGAAGTGGCTTCTGTTTCTGATACGGTCCCTCCCACATACTTCCCAACCAACTTTTCTTTCCCCCCAACATTTTTCACTGAAGCGTACAAGGTCGAGAGGTGACCTTAAAGAGGTTTATAAAGTAATGAAAGGTATAGTTACGGTGAATGGCAGATGTCTTTTCACAAGGGTGGGGGATTGCAAAACTGGGATGCATATTTTTAAGATGAGATGAGAAATATTTAAAGAAGACATGTGGGCAATTTTTTTTTGTTTACACAAAGAGTTGTCTGTGCGTGGAATAAGTTTCCAGAGGAAGTGGTGAATGTGGGTACAGTTATGAAATGTCTGGGGGGATATCGGCCAAGTGCAGGCAAGTGCCGCTACATTAGCTTGGAATAATGGTCAAGATGGATTGGTTGGACCAAAGGGTCTGCTTCCTTGCTGTGTGACTCTATGACTCTGTAACTGCTTTGATCATGGCATCAAAGTCTAAAATGGAAAAAAAACCTGAGCAAGAAAAAAAAGTTCAGAAACACTGACAAAGAAAAACATTTTAAATGATCACTAAATGATTGAAAAAGTAGCATTGGCTCAAGCATTGCAGAACTTGTCAATGACAATGAGTCTCTATATACAGTGTTAAGTATATGATACAGATTTTATATTCCTAGTGTACGTTTTAAAATATTTATTCTCAGGGTATAGGTGACTCTGGTCAGCATTCATTGTCCATCCCAGATGCCTCAAGCTGGTGGACCCTCTTGAATGTTTTGCAGTTTGTATGGTAATGTACTTTATCCTTGACACAACTAAGTGGCTTGCCAGGCCACGACAGCGGGCAGTACAGCGTGAACCATTTTGATTGTCACACATAGACCAAAACAGGCAAGGTATCCTTCCCTGAAGAACATCGGTCAACTAGTTGGATCTCTACTTTGCAATCAATCATTCCAAACGATACCAGCCTTTCCCATCATTGAAGCTCAGCAAGAGTCAATGCAGCCTAAAGGGAGAAGGTGACCCATCAGTTCCTACAGAGATCATGTACACCTGAAATCTGCTGCTGGTCCAGATTCCACAAAGAGACACCTGGATATAATTCAGATTAAGAATCGTCTTACTTCGGAGTAGTAACGTGCAAAATTGGAGCCAAGAGTCGTTTTTACATTTGCCCTCAGTTAACAGCAAAACACCTATAATTAGAAAATATCTTAAATTATTTCAACATTTATTCTCCAATATTAATTCAATGGCAATTGTTTGAGATATTCAAAAAAGCAAAATTTAAATTTGTTTTAAACTGTTTATAAAATTTGTGTTCAAATATCTTACTTCCTTGTTATCCTGCTTGAAATATTCCTGCCTAACAATTAGGAATGGAATCACTTATTTATCCTTGAGGATGTTAGTTCACGGAGTTTTAAAACTCACGTTAGTGGCAGAAAACGTGGTGCTTTGGAGTTTGTACAGCAAAAATGTATGGGCTTCAAAGTTATGGCATATTGAAGGCCAGGGATGCCAAGTCTTCCCTTCTTGTAACAATGGGCACTTTAGAAGTAGTGCATCACCAGATACTGCAACAGAGTTATTTGCTGAAAGTGGCATCTCACAGTCACGTCTGCACCTCAGTCACTTTTAGATGCCATGGAAACATATTTACTTACACTTGGTAGATAAATGACTCAGGAATCTTTGCAGATATTTCTAATATCTTTTTATTATTTTTAAGAGCAGGAACTTTTAAGAACAGACAGAAGTTTAAGGAACCAGCTGAACCTTGATGTTACATTGAGATATTATTCAAAAAAAGCTAGGAATTGATTGCTATGAGAATGCACAGCCAGCCAGGGTACCATAGTTTTTGCCATGCTGCAGTCAGATGCCAATCAACGAAGTCTCAGCCCATCAGCCACAAGGATAGCACTAAGAAATATACAATTAAACAAACTCCAGTTTTTTTAGTCTAAAAGTGAGATTGTTCCGAACTCCTGGGAGCACACAACATGGTGGCAAATCTGTCAGTGGGCAAGACTCAGCCATTCAAATGGAATTAATGTTGAACTAGATTGAGAAAAACCAACCCAAATTAGTGCCAAAAACAGAAGAGTGAATTGTGTGAAAACTAAATGAATTCACAGCCACAGCCGAAATGAATTGAGAAGGATGATGTCATTTGAGAAGTTTAAATGAAAGGGCAGCTCAACACTCAATAGCTTTCTAAAAGGCACTCGTGATGAGGAAAGGCTCCGCTACATCCTTTGCGGCCTGCAGGGAAAGTCACAGTAAAAACTCAGACAAAAGTTTTGAAAAATTCAGTACAGATGTCCAAAGTCAAATCATCAGATCTACCAATTCAAGAACCAGGTGAGCTTGTTAGCAATTCCCTAAGAATGAAAAATACAAATGTAATCAAAGGAAATAGACAAAGACTGTTGGATCAATGTAATCTGGGGCTCAGTGCATCCTCAAGTCCAAAAAGATTTGCTGGGAAAGCACAAGCTCACAATATTGCAGTCTGTAGTCAATGCCAAAGCGTTTGCTTTAATTCACAGAATGTGGGCATTACTGAACTGAGCCATCATTTATTGCCCATTCCCAATTGCCATCAAGAAGTTGGTGGTGAGCCGCATTCTTGAACTGTAGTCCACGTACAACCACAGTGCTATTAGGGGATTCCACGATTTTGATCCTGTGATAGTTGCGGAATGAGGATACAGTTCCAATGAAGCCACGAGCAGACAATTTTTGACATCGCATTCCCAAATGACTCATTTTCAATCAAGTCAAGAAAAAGACAACAGAGTTGATGCAGTGAACCAGGAAGAACAGAATCCACATCAGAGAGGAAGGCTTAAAAAAGCAGTGGAGAACTATATGAGATCACAAGCAGAAGAAAATGCCCGCATATGGATCAATCTGCAGAGATTATGGAAAGCTCAATCACACAGTAAAGATTTACAGAGCAAAGAAAGAAGATGGCTAGCCATGTCCAGAATAACCAAATCAAAACATTGCAGGAAGACCCTCTCCAGAAGACACAAAGGCCACATGGGAATGAAAAAGTTGAGTTTGTCAGAGAAACCCATCTGGTTCATTAATGTCCTTCAAGGTAGGAAACCTCCCGCCCTTGTCTGGTCTGATCTACATATGACACGTGACCCACAGCAACGTCCCCTGAGCAAGTAGAGATGGGCAATAAATGCTGGCCTAGCTAGTGATGCTCATTTCCCGTGACTGAATGAAAAGAAGGCTGTGGCGGACAAATCACTTTGTAGTCAAGGAAGTGGTAGATAATATTTTACACATTAAAGACATCAAGGGTCAGTCTCAAATAACCGCATGGTTTACTCCTGCTCCTAGTTTCTATGTTTAGACAGGAAAAGAGTTAACGATTAGAACAGCTTTCTGATACCAAAGATCTATAATCCTTTTTTAAAAAGAGGAGTGTTAAAATAAAACAAAAGAACTGCGGACACTGGAGGTCCGAAACAAAAACAGAAATTGCTGGAGAAGCTCGGCAGGTATCTGTGGAGAGAAAGTAGAGTTAATGTTTCAGGTCCAGGTGACCATTTTTCAGAACTCAGAAGGTTGATGTACATAAAGAGTTAGGAAGTAATTGTCATGAAAATGCACGTCTAAGACTCTCCATTACAGCCAAGTGCTGAGCACCAATGTAGCGATCCAGCAGCCCAATGGAGTTAGTTGTGCACTTCACTGAGCTACAGCACCATGATCTAAAAATGTGATTACTTCCAATTTATGGGAACCGAAAGATAGAACACATTCACTGGAAACAATGCAAATTTGCAAGTATATCAGCGAGATCTTACAACAGCATTCACCTTTTAGTGTTGCCTCCCTCCACAACTTGCCATTTCTTCTCCTGAACTTTAAGCAGCAGTGACTGATGGACCATAGTACACTGCAGCACAGTTTCTAAAAGCTTTCTCAGGGTGACCACCAGGTTTTCCTTCTTGTTATGACAACCATTGAATACAGTAGGTGGACTGAAGAAACACAATATGCTTCCAGATGTAGAAGCATTCAAGGCTTGAACTCATGGATCACTTCACTGAAGTCAACATGTAAAAGTAAGTTTTTTTTTGAACAGCGATGCTGAATGCCATGTACAACTACTATACATATTGAAAACATAGCCTTGCCATGTGGCTTTCAACTAAACCACACCTCTCCACAAGACAGTAACAT